TCACCATTGCATCCCATGGGAATCTGAAAATAGCATTTCACCACAAAAATTACTCACCAGCCTGACAGTGCTGGCCCATAAAAAGAGTTGATATTGGATTTCTTGTCAGATTGCCAATTCCTCTTCTTTCCAACTAGGCTCATTTTTGTTTTATCTGGATTGTGCTCCAGCCAATTGCATTTGGTCCAACAACTTGGGTTAGTTGTTCAGAGAGCCAGAGATCTGCTTCCTGGGTTTGTCACAAGGCTTCAGGATTGTGTGGCACCAAAGTCCATGGTGTTCGATGACCTCCTGTAGGGGCTTCATTGCTTAGTGTCTGCAGAAAGCATGAGAAAGCCACCTGTGGAACTGAAAGGATGAACATTTGTCTATTAGTGTTACCAGAAATGTCTGGTGGGTTCTTTCCTCAGCTTAGTATACAAATGAAAAGCCAGGAATCTGTTGCAGACAGAAAAATTTATTTGCAAAGAGACCAGGTGAGCAGAGTTAGAGAAAGCACCTCCAGAGAGAAAGCTGGGAGGTGGGGTGCCTCTCGAAAGAGGAGGGAGAGAGACGCCAAAAGGGTCTTTGGACAAGTCTTGGGATTTTAAGCATTCCCTGACCCCTCCTTGTTGGGCAGGAACCTACAGATAAGATGTTTCCCATTGGTGGTCTCTTAATTGGTTAGGAAATGAATGGGCAATGCTGTGCTGTCCACCTGAAGGTGCGGCCAAGACCTCAGCAGGCCTGGATGGTCCCAATTAGTAGAGTCCTTGGAGATAGAACTACAACTTTTCCACCCCTTTTTAAATGTAATAAGTCCATCCTCTATGCATGGCACATGCTTACAATGAAAGAAACAAGACTAGATTTGAACTGTAATACTGCAATAAGGTGGAGCAATCCACCATGGGGGTAGGGCACAGGGAAGGGATAGGGGAACACCAGAGTCTATGAAATGATGTTATAAAATGAAATGCAATAAAAAAATAAAAAAATAAATGTAATAAGTCCATCGCAGCTCATTCATTGGCAAAAATTTTGAGCCTCTTTCTCTTTCATTTGAAGATGTATTTATTTGTTGGAAAATCAGTTGCACAGAGAGAGAGAGAGAGAGAGAGAAAGAGAGAGATCTTCCATCCTTGGTTCACTCTCCTGATAAGCTGCAATGGCTGAAGACAGGACCCAGAAGCATCTTCCTGCCCACCTACTTGAGTGGCAGAGGCACACACACTTGTGCCATCCTCCACTGCATTTTCCAGGCTATTAGCAGGGAGCTGGGGTAGCTGGGACTTCAAGTGGCAATGCAGGTTTTATGCGCTGCAGTACAGCCCTGGCCCCTACAAAGTTCTCTCGGGAGCTACAGATCTATCTTTGATAACAACCACAACAACAATTTCAAATCTCACATTAGAAAACTCTTCTAATACTACCGTGACATTGGGGGATACACCCGGAGTGATGCAGTTACGACTACATTTGCTTTACTCTTGGGGCTTTCCTTTGTGTGCTATAGTTTTAAGACATACAGCAGGTGCTATGATATGAAACTCCAGGAAAGCTGCTCTGCCAGGGCTTAACTGATTCTGAACCAAAAACATGTGTAATAACCAGGAGGGAACTCTTTCTAGAACAATCTTACCCCAGCTTCCTGAATTATGACCTAAACTATGTGTTAATTCGTAAGTATAAAGCAAAAATGCACTGTTTATTGTGCACAGCGATAACAAGGCCTTTACAAAAAGAATCTCCACCTTTATATGTCATGCCATGCACTATAGAATTTTCTATGTTTTCATTTTAGTTCCTTTTGAAAATGCTGTTACAGACCACTAAATTGATTACATGATTAAGTAATGGGGAGTAATGACAATTAAAAATACCACTCTTCCAGCAAATGGGACGTAACATTGTTTAAAAGGTTAAAAAAAAAATTCAATGTAACCCAGGCAGGGGAGGAGAAAAACTGTGACATGAGATGGGATGAAAAACACAGCAATGGAATTTCTAGAAGTATCTGCATATAAAACGTCAGGCCAATAGTGGTAATAGTGTTGTTAGGAGAAATGAAAGCCCTTATTTGGAGTAGTTGCCTTTTATTTCTTGATAGTATAACCTACTACCAAATTGTCTTGCTTTTAGCTGGTCCTGTTCTTCTAAGGGGATGTCTGAATGTCAGCCTCACTAGCAGGGGTTTCTATTCAAGCTTTCCAAAGATGTTCCTACAATACATACAGAGAAATAGCCCTTTGTTAGATCACAGGCAAATGGAAACCATGTTTACAACATCGCCGAATTTACTCAGAACAAGGATTTCTCAGATTTGTTTTTCTACCAGAAGAAAGCACAATCACTGCCAGGCCATCTTAGGAACGGTCATGTTTTTAGCTTCCTAGTTATGATGTAAATCCCACAAAAACTAAACTCAATTGAACAATCCAATCATGAACCTGGAAAAGATCTTTGAAGATTAGGTTAACCACTGCAGAAATCATGCGAGTAATATCTGACAAAGTGATATGCAGTTAACTTTGAAGACCTCACAGGAGTCAACGTTTATCACTTCTATTAGTTGTCAATTGGTAGAGAGTAACTCTTCACTGGGCAGGAATCTCATTTTCTCTGGAATATTTTTAATGTAATCTGATTGCAGGTCTAGAATAAAAAAATTATTGAAATGTTATCAACTTGCTTTGCCTTTCAAAACTAGATCATTTAGATGCCCTATGGGTTCATAATCCAAGATAAGAGTAGATAGTAAAAGCCAAGAATTATAATTGAACAGTGAGAGATTTTACATTTGTTTCTTATGCTATAGTCCAGAGGAAGGCAGGCGAGTACTGCCATGACAGTTTGCTTGATGAAACCCTCACGCAAACAAGCTGCTTCCTGCTGGTTGCTTCAGCATGTCTGGCCTCATTTACATCATGCTCTCGAATGGGTAACTCAGCTCATATCAGCCCATTCAAACTTCAGACACTAGGAAAGAGGCATGCAGGAACAAAGGTATTCTTCCCGCCTTCTCACATCACCTTTCAGAAGTCATACCCACTTTCACATCATATGTTACTATCCCTCAGTACTGAACATTACTCAACACAACAAAACAGGACTCAGTTTCCAAAGGTCCATGCACTGGTATCTGCTTAGATAAATCAATCAATCTGAGTATTTGATTTTTCGAATTCTTCTCTGCCCAACCTATGGCAGGATAGCTTTTTTGGCTTTTGTGGTAAATTTACATTAGTTGTTTTATCCTTTTCCTTTCATGGTGCTTCTTTCCTCTTTCCATTGTTTGGTTGTGTCAGTTCAGTATTTCAAAGTATGATTCATATAAGATCTATGCAGCGCTTGACAATGACATTTAACCAGCATGCTTGTTCAGATCTCTGACAGACGGCACGGCTGTAAACAGGATTTCCTTATTAGTAGTCACTCGGCAGTTCCTGGTCATTGCTCAGAGATGATCACTGTATTCGCTCACAGACTGTAACAGTACATTTCCACAACTGAAAACATCACTGTGGAAAAACCCAACCTTAGATGAGGTGAACTTTTAAAGCTTTCAAGCAACAGGACCAAGTGCTGTAGCCTAGCAGCTGAAGTCCTTGCCTTGGGTGCACCAGGATCCCATATGGGCACTGGTTCTAATCCCAGCAGCCCCGCTTCCTATCCAGCTCCCTGCTTGTGGCCTAGGAGATCAGCCCAACACCTTGGGACCCTGCACCTGTGTGGGAGACCCGGAGAAGGCTCCTCGCTCCCGTCTTCAGATTAGCTCAGCTCCCGACGTTGTAGTCACTTGGGGAGTGAATCATCGGATGGAAGATCTTCCCCTCTGTCTTTTCTCCTCTCTGTGTAACTGACTTTGTAGTAAAAATAAATAAATCTTTTTTTTTTTTTCAAGTTTTAAAGCAACAAAGCAACAGTGCATATACAAGCACAATGTTAAGAGAGTGCTACGGGCCAGTGTTGTGGCACAGCTATCTTAGCCTCTGCCTGAGATGTCCAGCCCTGGGTATTTGGGCCGTGAACCACTAAATGCAAGATCTCTTCCTTTCTTTCTTCCTGTCTGTAAGTTTGCCTTTAATATAAGTAAATCTTTTTTTTAAAGAGAGTTGCTGCACTCCTCTTCATTTCTAGCCAACAAAGTTCTTGTAGCATTCTCACGTTAAAAGTTATAAGCACAGTTCCGAGCACCAGATTGCTTTATCAATTTCTAGCGTCACGAACAAACGCCAATGCTTCCTCGCTTTGTACCTCAGCACTTTGGGGCTGTAAAATGAGGAGAACGAATGGGGTTCTTGTACCCAATTAGCTAATGCAGTTATTATGTGAAACACTTTAAAGGAAGCATGATGCCTAATACATTCCACCTAAATATTAGATATTTAATGTAGGTGAAGTAAATAAACCGAAGAGTTGCATACGGATTATATGAGCGATAGCAGCAACCATTTTTTTTTTAATTCCAGATGGGCATCAGAATGAATTTTTAAAATCTACGTATTTATATCTGTTGGAAAACTCCACCTAGTGAAAAAGGTGAGCCAAGGTGGCTCAGTTATTTTAACAAAATTTTCAGGGACGTGGCTTGAAGATGGCTTCAGATTTATTTTCTGCACCGCTCTAGCAAAATAAGAGGGCGCTTTCCCTCGCTCTCCAATTACCCTCCTCTAACTCTGTTTTCACTTTTCTCACACACACAGCTGCCTACCTGGGCTCGGCTCCCGGGCGCGTCCCGACCCGCCCATTTCTCTAAAGTGAGCTTTTTCTGTCAGCCCACCCCTCTGGGGCCCCAGAGCACGCCGGGAATCGTAGTTTTCAAAGGTCGGCTCAGGTTGGCGCACGCGCTGCAGATACTCTCTCGCTTCCGGATCGGGAAGCGGCCAGGGCTGCCACGCGTTCCTCGGGCCGCCGAGCGCGGGCTTCTGGGAGTTGTAGTCGCGGGGGGGCGGGCGTCGTCGGTAAGGAGACGTAGCTTTCCGTGGGGATTGCTACAGCAGTTGGCCCCGCGGGCACCTCAGGGTCAGTCGGGCGCTGGCGTCGCTCCGTCCTCCCACTGAGGCTGAGGAGACGCTTTCCTTCTTCCCGGAGGCTGGCTCTCTCCGGTGCTGCATGCTCCTTGCCCCCCGCGGTCCCTAACCCTTCCTGCTCTTCTTCCTTCTCTGTCCATCTCCCAACCCCGGCTTGAGTGGGACGCGCCCTCCTGGACGGAGAGGCCCGCGACCTTCCGGGACCCGCCTCGCTCGGCCCCTTCACAACCGGGCGTCTCCTCGGTCTCGCTAACCCCTCGGCTCTCAGGCTCCTCACGCTCTTCTTGTCCCTCCCCTTCTCTCCTGCAGGGATGGAGGCTTCCTGGCGCCAGGTGGCCGGTGGCCGGGGCCGAGCCCGCGGATGGGCCCCTGCCGCCCCCGCCTCCGGCAATGGAGTCCCTCTCGGCGGTGCGGGAGGAGGCCGCGGGAAGGGGTCGGTGGGCGCCGTCGGTGCGGCCAGCAGCCCGGGAGGAGCGGCGGCCGGGAGCAGGCAGAGCCCCGCGGGACCCGAAGCCCTGCAGACCTCGGCGGGCGGCGGTGAGCGCGGCGCCCGTCCTCGAGCCCACCTGGGTGCTGTGGCCCCGGGCTCCAGTCGTGTCTGCCCCCCGTTCATCCTCGGGGGGCGGGGCGGACCCTCCTCCACTCTTTCGGGCAACTGCTTTCTTTCCGTTTTCTAGACAGAGGTCTGTCGTTCTTTGAGTGGGTCTGTTAACCTTGGTGAAATTACAGTGCCCCTCTCTTGCTTCCTCTGAGTCGTAAATTGTGGCCCTCGGGTCTGACTTGGTTCCTAACGTTGGCCGGAGGGCTTTCAGTTTGAAGGGGTGGCCAGCGTTTGCTTGTTTGGAAAAAAAAAAATCTCAGAAAGATCTGGCAGACAACTTTTTCTTGTTCAAGTGCAGTGTTGTGCTGGACTAAGGTCACCTCGCCTGGGTCACTCCCGTGCCGGGCACTGTCCTGCAGTGGAGCAGCCGGGCCAGCTCTCCCAGCCTGCTTTCCCTGATTGCCCGGTGTATATATCCTGGTGGCACCGGGTGCTGGTGCCTCGCCCCTGTGGGTGGGGTTGGCGGGTCTCTCTTTTCTGTGGTGTTGCCCCTTCATCCAAGATTCTGGAACACGTGCACACCACAGCCCGTGAGAGCCACAGGGGTAACTGCGAAACTATTGCGTTTTTGTGTTGGGATTGTATGTTTTAGGAGGTTTTTCTGGGGGGGGGGGGACCACAAGCAGAATCGTGCTCCCAAGCCGGCTTTGTCCTAGGCTTGAGACTCGTTGGGTGGTCTGTTGGCTTGGAGCTGCCGAGTGTATGAAGGTGGCTGGGTGAATGCTGCAGTTTGGAGAAATACGAGCAGCTTTGGTACACTTTTTGGATTTTGTGTGTAGACAAGGTAAAGCAGGAATTTGCTAGTTGATATTTGGATGAACAGGTAGAACCTTGTCAGGTTCTCTTAATTTTTCTCAAGATGATGTTAATATACATGTTTATCAGGTTATGAATATTTTCATTATTTTCTTTCCAATTCAACCTTTTGTCTTATATGTATTTTTTTTTTTTAAAAGAAATGTTTATGTGTTTGAAAGGGCAGAGTTACAGAGAGGGGGGAAGAGACAGAGGGCGAGAGGTCTTCATCTGTTGCTTTACTCCCAAATGGCTGCAATTCCCCAGGTTGGGCCAGGCGGAAGCAAGGAGCCTGGAGCTTCTTCCCTGTCTGCCAGGTACATTGTTAGCAGGGAGCAGGATTGCAAGTGGAGCAGCCAGATCTTCAACGAAGGCCCACATGGGATGCCAACACTGTAGATGGGGGCTTAGTATGCAAAGTTACCGTGCCTACCCGATCTTACATGTCAAGTACTCATGGGTTGCTGACTCATCCTTTTAGTGAAGTTTCGAATCAGTAATATTGACATTACCTTTCTTTCAGTACTCAGATTGCTAGCTAAGTACTGTGTAGGTTTACTTCCAGTTTTACTTGAAATTGCTTGTTTTGATTGATAATCCCCAACCAAACTGGTTACAATAAGAAAATGTTTCATCAGGGAAATACATTTTTTTTTTCCCCTCCAAAGATTTCTTTATTTTAAAAGTTAGAATTGCAGAGAGGGAGAGATAAGAGAGAGCTCTTTCATCCACTCATTCACATCTCAGATGGCTGCTGTGTTCAGTGCTGGGCCAGGCTAAAGCCAGGAGCTTCAGCCGGCTCTCATGCATGGGGAGCAGGGGTCCAGACACTCGGGCCATCTTCTGCTGCTTTTCACAGGCTGTTGGGAAGTGGGGTTGGAAATAAAGCAGCTGGGACATGAACCAGCACCCCATAGGCATGCTGGCATCTCAGGTTGTGGCTTTGTGAGCTATGCCACAACATTGATGAAGCGTTTTTAAGTATGCATACACTCAATAGTAAGAGTGAGTATCTTTTAATATAAAGAGTCTTTTAAATTAGGAGTTTAATAAATTTGCAATTCAATTTGGACACTCATAAAATCATCAGTTCAGAAGGTTCCTTTCCTTTCTTAGACTTTGGTTGCCATGTGTAAGAGATGATTAACACTTCATTCTTGTAGAATATTCCTATGGTCCTTATTCTCAAGAAGTTTGAACCCTCAAAGGAGATACTCAGTTTTGCATTGTCCTTTAACCAAATAAAATGATAAAAGTACAGACGGTACTTAGAGAAGGAATGAATCAAAAACTTGTTTGACATTTGTTTTGCATCAATTTGTAAAAGTGCTTTTTCCATGTTAACTTTTGTGCAGATTGATGTTAGATAAACTTACCTTGTTGTGATCACAAACAAATGTCAAAAAGCCCGTGATAAAAGGTAAAGTTCCTGAGCCTTGTAGGAAGCAGACTGTCAGCGTAGCTGGTGAGCAGCAAGTACTGTGGGTGGGAACCCAAGATGTGTGAGGAGAATCCATTCCCCAGTTTTGACAGCTTTTCGTTCCTCTTCAGTATCCCTGTGGGCAAGATCTTGTAGAATACCCCAACGTTTGGAGTTTTTTGATACCTCTCATTCCTTTGTTTGTATTTTTCTGATTTGTTAGTCACTCTTTGTATAGCAGTTTGCTGAATTTAACAGGACACTTACACAAGCGAAAGCTTTTCTTGTGGTATGTCCGTTGTTTGTGCGGTAAGAAATTTCGAGAGACTTTCTTGTGGATTACAGTGAGGTAGAATGCTCCCAAGGAGGCTGTCAGACATGTTTATAGTGTTGTGTGACTGCATCATTGGTGCTTTCTGAGAGTTTGTCGTGCAGAAATCAAACCATTTGTGTTTTTTTTCAAACAGAGCAAATGTCTCAGAAGAAGTTTGAGGAGATCAAGAAGGCTAATCAAGCTGCAGCCAAAAAGCTTGTTCAAGAACATGTTAGCTCTTCATCTGAAGAAGAAGGAGATGAAGATTTTGAAGGAAAACAGGGAAAAATAGTTGCTAATACATTTGTAACATACACTACTCAGACAGGTACTGAGCCTTTAAATGTTGACGTTGGTGACGTATGTCTGTTCCTGACACTTTTTCATAGCAGTTTAACTCCATGTGAAATAGTTTTTGCATCTCAAGAAAGAGCATGCGGTCATGATAATAGAGTTGGAGTTTTCTGCATTTTGCTATTTGAGTTCCGTGTTGTTCAATACTAATCATGTTGAAAAGCAAGCAGAATGGCAGTGACCCTTCCGTGGCTAGGAGTTCTGTGTTTAATGAGCCCTTCAAGGGAATGATGGGAGGGGATCCCAGGGCCCCCCAAGACACGCCAGGACACACTGTCCCTGGTGGCGTGTGGTAGGGCTATAGGAACTTGGATACTCTTTTTAGTCTAGTCTTCATTTGCTTTGCTCTTTTCTCTCATGTTAAGTATGTCTTCAGTCCATTTTTAAATTTTAGTATCTATTTTTTCTTGTAAGATTTTTTTTTTTTGAAAGGCAGAGTTACAGAGAGAGACCTTCCATGTGCTGGTTCACTCCCCAAACAGCCTCAAATGATTGCAGTGCCAGTAGCTTCTTCCAGGTCTCTCAAATAGATGCAGGGGCCAGCGCATTAGCAGGGAGCTGGAAGGGAAGTGGAATAAGCTGGTCTCAAACAAGCACCTATGTGGGATGCTGGCACTGTTGGCAGAGGCTTAACCCTCTGTGTCACAGCACTGTCCTCCACATGTACTATTAATATTTTTAATATGTTTGTAGATATTTACCACCTTATGTGTATTGATAGTAGTAGTTTGTGCTTATACTCTTGCATTGTTCATTTTCTTGGATTAGGGTCATGTTGGAACTAGGGAACCTATAAAATGTGTGGGAAACATTTCTATAGAGAAGCAACTTTCCTAGATTTAAATAATTAGTAAGTGGTAGAACTAAGTTTTTTTATTTTAAGGTTTGTTTTAGTTTTATTTGGAAGACTGAGTTACTGAGAGAAGAAGACACAGAGAGAACGATCTTCCATCGCTGGTTCACTCCCCAAGTGGCCACAACGGCTAGAGCTCAGTCAGTCTGAAGCCAGGAGCCAAGAGCTCAGGTCTCCCATGTGGGTGCGGGGCAGCCAAGGACTTGGGGCCATCCTCTGCTGCTTTCCAAGGCCAAAGCAGGAAGGTGCATCATAAATGAAGCAGCCGGGACTCAAAATGGCTGCTATGTGGGGTGCTGGTGCTGTAGCAGGAGGTTTAACTTACTATGTCCCAGTGCTGGCCTGGTAGAGCCAGGTTTTAACCTTGTTTACTTTTGAACTGCTGTTGAGTTGACAGCATTTTCTGTGTAAAAGCAGAGGTGGTCCAAGAGAGATTGGACTGCAACTCTAAACCTGCTGATGGGGAAGAAAGCACATGTAGTGGTTGAGAGCCTTGATGCTGAAGCTTGAGCAGGCTGACTTGTCTTTGACTTGACTCTGGGCTGTGCGTCACACTCTTCAATATGTTAGGGTCTCAGGCTCTGTGGGTACACGCCGTAGTATATGCAGTAGTTCCTGTGCAGCAGCATATGCTGTGCATCTGTTTGCTGTAATGTGTAGTGTATTTTAACATGAGCTTGGTTAGTAGAGATTTTCTACTAGAACTTTTTAAAAAAATCATTTTTTAGAAAATGGTCTCTTTTTATTTGTTCAGTCTTTGGCCCATGCGGGTGCAGGGTCCCAAGGCTATGGGCCATCCTCTGTTACTTTTCCGGGTCATAAACAGGGAACTAGATTAGAAGTAGGGCAGCTGGGACGTAAACCAGCTTCCATATGGGATCCTGGTGCTTGCAAGGAGAGTTTTAGCCAATTAAGCCATCACACAGGGCCAAAAACCTAATCTTATTCATAAATTCCATTTTATATACGTTAGATGCTAAATTGACACAATTTAGAACTGTATATGTATTTGTTAGAGCTACCTTATAAGTACAGCAACTTGTTATTGCTAAATAGTTATTACCATGCGGTAGTGCTATGAGGTGTCTTAAAAGGGTTCATAGAAAGTGCTCATTTTGAAAGTGCTTGCATTACTTTCAGAATTTTTTGCAACAAAATAAACCTATGCCTTTAAAAATTCATTTTTGCAAACATTTTGCAGAATCAGAATCAGTACTCTTAAGTTTGTGTTGTAAGATGTTACTTAACATGAGATTTTTCACTTGTAAACGTTCCAGATGGAGATACCCGTGAGTTAGAGCGGACAAAGCAGTATGTAAATGATGCTTTTCAAGCAGGGGCAATGACGTGCTTGATTTGTATCGCTTCAGTAAAGAGAAACCAAGCAGTAAGTTTTTGTCCTTATCTATGTTAGTATCTCTTAAAACTGCCTGTATTATATTCATGATACTTAACTACTTAATTTTGCATATTTTTATTCAAAATGTCCCATTTGAGTATCTTGTATATGATTATGAATATTTGTATATGGATTATTCTGTAACTGATTTTTTTTTTTTGAAATTAAGGGTTCTGCTCAAACCCCCTTTTTTTAAAAAGATTTATTTTTATTGCAAAGTCAGATATATAGAGAAGAGGAGAGACAGAGAGGAAGATCTTCTGTCCACTGATTCACTCCCCAAGCAGTTGCAGTGGCTGAAGCTGAGCTGATTCGAAGCCAGGAGCTCTTCTGGTTCTCCCACATGGGTGCAGGGTCCCAAGGCTTTGAGCTATTCTCGACTGTTTTCCCACGCCACAAGCAGGGAGCGGGATGGGAACTGGAGCTGCCGGGATTAGAACCGACACCTATATTTGATCTTGGCGCATTCAAGGCGAGGACTTTAGCTGCTAGACTACCACACTGGGCCCTCTATTCTGCAACTGATTTTAAAAAAAGTTAACTCTAAATGAGCCTGCAGTGTTTTTTGGATTATTAATATCTAAAAAAAATCACCACTTTTAGTATACATGCCATTTTGATAAAGCCTTTTTAGTGTCTGTGCCTTTGAGAGTCCCCCAAATGTGAAGCATTAAAGTGTACCACATTTTTACTTTCTTTGGGCCTGAAAAAAAGGTACTACTGTCCCTGCCTTGAAGGAAGCATTTGACAGTGTCATTAACTAGTCAACTTGTCCTGCTTTGAAGGCATCATGGGAAGTGGCAAAGGTCAGTAGGGGAGAAAGACTTAGACATAACTCCTGTCCTTAGAGGAGGTATGGCCTGGTGGTGAAGTAATCTGTGAAGAAAAGTAGTAAAGGAGCAATCAAGGAGAGTGACGTAGGATAGCTCGAGCTTACAGACCCTAGATTAATCCGCTGTAGTTAAAGGTGCTTTGCCTCATAAGGAAAATCGGGACAGATGAGTGTGGAGTGTGCTCAGGTCGGATAGCATAGAAGAGAGACGAGTGCGCTTGGTTCTCAGGTGACGTTGGTCGGCCTGCTCTGCTTGAGTGCGTGTGAATAGTGTCCCTGTGCAGACAGCATCTTTAGACGCTTGTACATGTGAGCTTTTGTCTTTTCATCTCAGCGTTTTTTCTTTGAGAAATAACCTAGCCACTACATCGATGTGCAGAAGCAGTGTGTAGGGAGTAGGTGTCCCGTGGGACACAGTCCATGCTGAGCAATTGGTGGAAATTGGTGGTGAATGTCTCGTCCTTTTCTTTGGGAGAGTGGTGCTAAGGCCATCCCGAGCAGGTTGTACGTGGTTCTTCAGAGGACACCCTGCAGAGTTGAGCCTGCTGCCCATGAATCAGCTCAACAGTGTAGCCATTTCCTCTTCTGCCCTCTGGTCCCCTGGGTGTCGCACCTGGGTTGTAGCTCAAGTGCTGCTTTAGGAAAAGCTCCAACTAAGAAATTCACTTGCTGGTTTTTTTTTTTTTTTGGATGATGTTGGCTAGTTTGTGCAATGTAATACACATTTCATCAAGTGTTTGTAAAATAAGGAAAAAGAAGGGATTTTTTGTCACATCAAAATATCAGCAGGTCTTAAAATTAATTTAGTGTCATTACTTAATCTTTTTCAGTTATATAATTTTTCCATTATCAGCTTAGTTTTGCTCACACCATTTACAGAATTGAGCACTAGATGAGTAAGCTTTATATAACAGAAGGTCAATATAGAGATCTGTGTACATGTGTGTGTTTCAGGGTTTCCTTGCATTGTTATTTATAGTTGGAAAGAACTATAAAAATGTGAAATTAAACTAAGGTGTATCAATTATATCTTACATTTATAAATAACATATTATATGAATGTATTTGGTAAGGATAAATGTTTATAATGAAAAACTGGAAAATTACATATCAATCATGGTATATGCTAGTGGTCTATTTTTAAGTACTCTTTTTTAAGTACTCTTTTATCAAGAACATTTTTTTTCATTATATTCACAGGAAAGTCTTATTTTTAATCTATACGTAGGTTTTGAATCTACTTTAGTGTGATGCTCATTTTACAGTATTGTGAAATTAACAAAATAATATATATATTTATTTCTGCCATCTGTGTCATAGGTTTGGAGCTGTTCAGGATGTTTCTGTATATTTCATATGCCTTGTATCCAAAAGTGGGCCAAAGACAGCGAATTTCTCGTTTCATCTTTGACGGATGATGATTTTGGAAAGCGAGATTATCCCTGGCCTTGGTAACTTTTTTCTAATTAATTGGGTTATAGTTGTACAGGAAATACAAATTATTATTGTAAGTTACTTTTGGCAATTTCATGTTTGGTGTTCAATTTTTATAATTACTTGCTCCTTAAATGACTAGTAAATCATTCAGAGTTAATTTTTCTCCCTGCAGAGCAGTTTCTTAATTATCCTTTTAAGGGACTTTGTTATTCTTTTTTTTTTAAAGATTTATTTTATCTTTTTATTAGAAAGTCAGATATACAGAGAGAAGAGAAACAGGACGATCTTCCCTCTGCTAATTCACTCCCCAAGTGACAGCAATGGCTGGAGCTGCACTGATCTGATGCCAGGAGTCAGGAGCCTCTTCTGGGTCTCCCGTGTGGGTGCAGGATCCCAAGTCTTTGGGTCATCCTCTCCTGCTTTTTCAGGTCACAAGCCGGGAGCTGGATGGGAAGTGAGGCTGCTGGAATTAGAACCAGCACCCATGTGGGATCCCAGCACAGCCAAGACTAGGACTTTGGCCACTAGGCTACAGCACCTGACCCCTATATTCATACTTTAAAAGAAAATAAATTACTCCAATGAGTTTTGAAAACTCCCTTTTGTTTAATCCTTGTGAAGACAGAGCTAAAATAATGGTTTTAAATTAGGTGTTTTGTGGAAACTGAAAATTAACATAGATATTCCTACTATATGATATGGCTTATTTATGAAAAATACATAGCACAAGCCAACATTTTATTGTTGGCATTACGTTATCTTTAAAAAATTCATATATTTACACTACTGCTATCAGGAGAACTGTTGGTTCAGTGCGGATGGGCTCATGAAGGTGCCCTGAGTTCCTTGTTAGCAGCCAAGGCTCAGTTGATTAGATGCGTTATTTCCCTCCACAGTAGCTAAAAGGACTGGTGGAGTTTTTCCTGTTAGTAAAAGAAATTTTAACTTTTAAAACAAAATACCAACTATTTACTACAGATAAGAAATGACATTTGGTTATTTTAATTGTAAGCATGAAGATCTTTTACTTGTTTTGAATATCTGCGTGGTTTCTGGACAACATATTGATGTGGTTTTAGTTGTCAGGATGTTGAAAATATGTTGTGTATGGTATCAAAGAAATCGTGAAGTGTTGTGTAGAATACTAGCTATACTCATTTGGGAAGATAAAGAATCCAACATTTATTGACAGTGAAATTATTTGGCTTGAGCTTCAAGTGAGTTTTTATTAGAACTGCAGGTTAACTCTTCCAGTACCAAAATTTATTTATGTTGTAGATTAAAAGTCTTTCAGCTGCAGCAAGTATTTCTGTAGCTTTCACAGGTTGGGGTCTATTCAGGTGTTCAGAATTGTGAAGTATCCTAAGTATGTGCAGCAACTAACCACATTTGGCTTTTTAAATTTTTGAATGTTATAAAATAAAAAATCTGTTCCTTCCTTAGTTACAACCACTCACCATGTTCCAGGTGCTTGCTAGGTACATGTGACTGCTGGCTGCTATGTTTTGGAGTGTGGGTGTGAAACAGATCCATTCACATTAAGAAATTATATTATGCTAAGCTGTTCTAGAAGATTGAAAACGATTTGGTTGCTTGCTAATATAGAGTTCCTTAACAGACTTCATTGAACATACTATATGTGCTTCTAAGTCTACTTATTTTTCTGTATTTCCTGTTACTTTTAAACATAAAATTAACTTAGTAATTTCATTTTTTTAATAGCCCAAAATGCAGGTTTGAATACAAGCGCTCAGAAACTCCTAGTAGGTATTATTGTTACTGTGGAAAAGTGGAGGATCCACCTTTAGACCCTTGGCTGGTGCCTCATTCCTGCGGCCAAGTGTGCGAGCGAGAATTCAAACCTCCTTGTGGCCATAAGTGTTTGCTCCTCTGTCATCCGGGTGAGTTACAGATCACATCTAAATTGTTTGTGCTTGCTTATATATATGGAAGTGAAAAATTGTAAGAGCTGATTTTAGAGTTTTAAGTTTTCAATAAGAAAATATTGAAAGGGGTTATGTGTTGAAATGCTCAGTATATGAAGCTATAGAAATTGCTGGTAGATATAGAAATTAAAATTTTTGATTTTTGACTTCTGAATTCTTGTCTCATTGAATTTAGGTCCTTGTCCTCCTTGTCCAAAGATGGTAACGACTACTTGTTACTGTAAGAAGGCAAAACCCATCCCTCGCAGGTGCAGTACCAAGGAGTGGTCCTGCCAGCAGCTATGTGGGCAGAAGTTGCTTTGTGGACAACATAAATGTGAACATCCTTGTCATGCAGGTAAGGTGCCATTCTGGGTAGGGTGTCTAAACTTTGAGCAGAAATCTATTGTCTCTGTAATGTTTCTGTTTATTTTTTTTTTAATCATTTTGATTTTAGGAAGTTGTCCACCGTGTCCAAGAGTTAGTAAACAGAGGTGCGTTTGTGGCAAAAAAGTAGCTGAAAGAAGTTGTGCAAGCCCTCAGTGGCAGTGTGATCAAGTAAGTGCGTTTATAGTTTGAGCGATGGTGAATATTAAATATAGAAAATGTAAACAACTAGAAATTTGGTTACTTGAATAAAAGATGAGGCAGACTGTCAGCTCAGATGAGGTGTGTCATTTCTTAGGAAACTAACTTTCTAATTTAAAAGTTTTACTTGTTAGAAACTGTTTCCAAAATTAACACCTAATGGTTGAATTTTGCAGTCAGTGCTTTTGCTAATTTTCTCTCCTTTGCATCTTTGCTTCTTGAGTTAATGCAGTTGAAAAAGTAAGATTGGCTTTGTAGGTTGCTTGTCTTATAATTGGCAGGGTTTTATTGCAATTTGGAAGTCTTTGGTGAATGGCTATACAAAACTGTATTTACTTTGTTTCCTTTATTTTGTTTTTAAAATTTACTCTTTAGTGCATATTAAGTGTGTGGGTATACATACATGTGTCTATACATATGTGTGTACATATATGTGATACCTACAAAGGACTTCATGTTCACAAACTTCAGAATTCATAGAAAATGAAATTTAAAAGATAAGTTTAGGAGTAAGTATTGGGTGAATATTGTTAGGCCACAAATTATGATGTTAGTACCTTGGCTTTTGTACTTCCCATTACTTTCTGCTGATTCTCCTGGGAAGGCGCAGAAGATAGTCCAACCATGTGGGCCCTGCCACCCAACTGGCAAACCCAGATGGAATTCCTGACTCCTTGAACCTGACCCAGCTTTAGCCATTGCAGCCCTTTGGGGAAATAAAGCAGCAGATGAAAGATTTCTCTTTCTGCCTTTCAAATAAGTATTTATTTTATTTTTTAAAAGACAGAATAACAGAGGAGAGAGAGATCTTCCATCCCCAGATGGTTGTAATGACTAGAGCTGAGCCAATTCAAACCCGAGAGCCAGGAGCTTCTTCTGGGTCTTGCATATTGATACAGGAACCCAAAGGGTTGGCCATCCTCTGCTACTTTCGCAGACCATTAGCAGGTAGCTGGATCAGAAGTGGAGCAGCCAGGACACTAACCAGTACTCATATAGAATATGAGTGCAGTGACACTGTGGTGCTGGCCCCAGCCCACAAAGTTTCTGAAGTACCCTTGCATGTAAGGTATGAAGTTTAGTAATATGGGTATTATAAGACCTTTGTGATTGGAAATACCTTATACAAAGTTTTTGTTACCTTTTAGACTTCTTGTTAGTGCAAATTGCCTTTTATTTCAGGTTTGTGGAAAAACACTGCCATGTGCTAATCATACCTGTGAGCGGGTTTGCCACGTTGGTGCTTGTGGAGAATGTCCTCGATCTGGCAAAAGGTCCTGTCCATGTCAGAAATCAAGTAAGACTTTTTGTTTGTTTGTTTTAAGGAAGTGAGCTGTCAAGCCGTGCAAAGATGTGGCAGCAACATAAATGTCTGTCTTTAAATGGAAGGAAGTCAATAAGAAAAAGCTGTTGTACTAGGACTCCAACTGTAGGCCCTTGTTCTGGAATATGCTACACCATGAAGATAGAAAAAAGATCAGTGTTTGCTATGACAGACCACGCTGTATGATACTGTACTGGTAGTTATATGTTGCTATTTGTTTCTCTGGACTCGTAGAATGTGCATCGTGAAGAACATGAGTCGTCATCTCTGGATGATGACGTGTAGGTTCATCATTTGTACCAGATGTGCCACTGTGCTGGCCAGTGTTGACAGTGGGGAGGCTATCTCAGCAGATAATAAAGCGTGTGTTTGTAACGTGAATTCTAAGACTTGTCATGGCATGTTTATTTTAAAACTGGGTTTCATAATATTTTAAAGTCTGAAGTTTTTCTCTAGGTTAAAGGTAATTAGAAATAATTTTGTATTTCATGGAAATTTTTTATAGAAGTTCACATAATCTTCCTGATTTGTTCAGATAAATGTTTTTGAAGTGGCCCATAGAAATGCATTTCTTGAGGAGAATAACTTTTCATGTGTCAAATTTCTTTTGAAAAAGAATAAGCTTCACAGATAGAGGAGTCTCATGAAAATTTTCATTTAAGTTATTTTTTCCAATAATTCTTTGGACATAACAATGCCTAGTACAAAGGACTGCCATTTTTTATGGAGACTAAGCAGCATGGCTGTTTTTTAATGCTGTGTAATAATGTTAGCTTATTAATGTTGACTTTTTGCTTTCCTTCAGAGTTTTCTTTGCCTTGTACAGAAGATGTCCCAACTTGTGGAGACAGTTGTGACAAAGTACTTGAATGTGGAATCCATAGATGTTCGCAGCGTTGTCACCGAGGTCCTTGTGAAACATGTAGACAAGTTAGTCATCTCCTATAATAATTCCTTTTGTAAACTACACATCCTATTATATCAACTGGGATTGTCCTGTAACTGTTTTCCCTTACATGCTGTCTTGTAATCTGTATCATGACCTGTTTGAGTTCAATGACCTAACGTTTATTAAGAAGAGTATGCCAACAGTCAAACCTAATAATTACCTTTTGTTTGTTTCTGTTTGAGTGAAGTTTGAGTGCTCTTTGTTGAATGTGTGTTTTGGTCAGTGTGGGATTGCTTGTTTCCAGACGACATTCAGAGTAGTGACATGGTAGGCTTGCTGAAGATTGAAAGAAAAAAAAAAGGACTGGACTTGAGATTTGTATTTGTCAATTTGGTTTTGTCTGTACTCCCAGATCAACAAGCGTCTTGAATAATCCAGTTTTGTTCTTTATGCAAATAAGACATGCAGAGTTGTTGTGTTATTAAGGCTAGATGTAACTTTTAGGAAATTCTGGTTTGGCTGCAGAAATGCCTTCCACAGAGATTTGCTGTTTAAAGTTTTGGGTGGAGCAGCGTTTAGCCTGGTGGGCACAGTGTTGGCATGTGCCTGGACTTGATTCCTGTCTGGCCCCTGACTGCAACTCCTGCCCATGCAGACCTGGAAGGCAGGGGTCATTGAGGAGACCTGTACCACAGCGGGTGGGAGTACTGCCTGTCTCTGCCTCTCTCTTTTTCTAATATATTTGACAAATAAAGTTACTATTGTAGTTACCCTTACAATTACAGTGTAGTAAAAAAAATAAATAATTTTTAATAGAATTTTTCTTATTCTTCCAGGAAGTGGAAAAGCATTGTCGCTGTGGAAAGCATACAAAAAGAATGCCGTGTCATAAATCTTATCTGTGTGAAACCAAGTGTGTGAAGATGCGTGATTGTCAGAAGCACCAGTGTAGGAGAAAGGTATATGTAGTCAGCTTGGGAAGTTTTAATTTAAATAGGAATTTCTCATTTTTGGGCCTGTGAGAAACACTGCCTTGCTTTGTTACTCAAATGTGCAGGAGTAGCCTTTGCTGTCCATACGAAGTATTAATAAATATTTTTGATTGGCTTTAGTTATTTGTATTGGTGCCGAATCCTACCTATGCATGTTTTTAACGACAGAGTCTCTTCTATCTCGTACGTAATGTTCTCACTTTGCTTTGTGTGCTGCTTCTGTTCCCTGACTTTAAACTCATCACTAGCAGTTTTTGAGTAATGGTTTCTGTGGTGGCAGGGATTTAATGCCTATTTAGAATTTAACTTAACAGATGCTTGGCTTACTGTTTTATTGAGTGTGCGGATTTGTAATTGAGATTTTTGTTGTTGTTATTATGAAATATGTGTCTTTGGTAGTAAGATCAGGGTTATTTTTCCCCTCTCTTAGTGTTAACAGCACAGCATATCATTTTCCTTTTTTTTTCATTTGTTTACTTTATTTGCTTATTAACTATTTCCATTGCCCCTTTTTGGTGTGAACCACTTCATTAGTCTCTGTATTCTCTAAGAATCTCACAACAGTTTATTTAAAATAATGTTTTTATTCCAGAAGTAAAATATATAATTCTCATACTTTTTATTCTGTGTATTTTTTTAAAGTCCCAAATGCGATATTTTAATTTTTGCTTTAAATACTTTTTTCAAGAGTTTGAAAAGAAATAGTAAGTGTTGTTTGATTTTTATCATTATACTTACTTTGTGATGCACAATTCTTTTCTGTAGATTTGGTTTTGTTTTCTACCTGAAGGATTTTTATAAGGCTTTTTAACTTATTTGCAAGGCAGACTTCATGGAAGGAAGGGACAGAGAGAGAAAGCCTTCATCTGCTGCTTTGTTCCCCACAGATGCCTGACACCACTGTGGCTGGGATAGGACAAAGCTGGGAGCCTTGGTTTTGCTATTGCTTTCTGTTATATTATTTTTTGGCTTTCTGAGACATTTCTAATTGGTTCCAGACATTATACTTTACCTTTTTTTTTGGTGCCCCTTTTGTTTTGTTCTGTGTTCTGTTACATATTTTTCAGGTTTGTTCTGGGGCAGAGTTAAGTTACTTAGAATTCACTTGGTGTACTTGAGACTTGGTTAAGTGTTAGGTGTAAACCAGAGTACTCCTTTGCCTAGGGCTCATTTGGCTCCCTGTACTGAGACAGTAACTCTGACTTATTGAGTAAACTGAATCAAGTGTTCTGGCTGTGAGGAAGTGAGTATTCCTAACCCTGTGTAATCTGTGAAAACAGTGCTTTCTCCTCCTGCTGGTTGTTTCTCACACATGCACAGATCAGGGCTCACCCAAAGACCTAAGGGATCCCTTCTGGAGTTCTCTGGAGCTTTTTTGTACTATTTATTATTTCCTTGGCACAAATTGTAGCCGCATCGGCCCCTCTCAACTATTAATTTTGTCTCCTCGGCTTGGTGAAACAGCCAGATTCTGAATGTGATCTTTCTTTTTGTGTTGCAGCCTGGGATTCTTCATGTATAAATCGATACCAATTCCGGGCACCTGATTTAGTTCCTGTCTCTTAGGGATTACTTTCCTGTGCTGCCTTATTCCCTGTTTGAAAGCTGTAGATTTTATCTTTTGTCTGGTTTTTCAGTTGTTTGATACATAGAGGTAAATGCAGTCGTTGTTACTCCATCACAACCTGAAAAAGAAGTATCTTTACTTATTCTCTTCATTGAGCACATAACCTTTTCCCTCCTTGCTCTGGCAAAGTGATAGTCACCAAGTATTACTTGAGAAATGTTTCTCCAATTATATGAGCAATTTTGAATTTTGATTGATTTTAGTAGTATGTATTTTATTTTGAGCTGTTTTATATACTGAAACTAATACTTACGTAAATTATAATCCTGAATTCCTTTAAGATAATTGTGAACATTATTTCTACTCCAAAGTATAGGAATGTGAGGCATCAGAAAAGGAATAAGGAAGCAATATAGACTTTTAAGTAGTTACTGGGTATTTGTGAATGAAAAACTAGAACAGATCACAGTTTTCTCACAGATTGGAAATCTGGAAAGTAATAAAATAAGGAAGGATAATTTATCTCTTCTCCAACAGCTTAAAGTTAACTGCCAAGCAAATTTATACATTAAGGTGATTTTATTTTGTTTTTAATTTGCTCAATTTATGTGAATGATGAAGAGAGAATTTGGGAGAATTCTCATTCTGGAATCACGCTGCATACACCTGCAACTACTTGGTTTTGACTAGTCCAGATCTGTGACCTGGGAAGTCAGTTCAGATCTGCCATGAAGGTGGCAGTGGCCCAGCTGCTTGAGCCAGCACCTGCTGTCCTTAGGGCTTCATTAGCAGGAAATTGGAATCTGGAGCTGAGCTGGAATTGAACTCAAGTACTCCAATGTGGCATGTGGATGAACCAGCTGGCGTTTTAATTAGTAGGCTAAGTGCCCATTCCTGATTTTATGTTTATTAAATTTAGGAAACAGCCAACTAATGGTCTAAAATATTGTCAGTCTGTCAGGTGTGGGAAACTTTTTTTTTCTGCCAGAGGCCATTTGGGCATTAATGACCTCATTGTCCACTTAAAAATTAACCAGCTATAGATTTATTGCAGTTTGAGCCCTGCCTGCACATGGGATGGTAGGACTAGGCCAGGGGATTTCATGGACCTTATTTGACCTTTAGGAGAAATGTTCCCCACCCCTGCAACATAGATAAAGAAATGAAATTATTTGATGCAAATATTTTTTTGAGTCATAGACTAATTAACTGAAGAGGAAAAGTATTTGGTATGGCTTTAATTGAACTAGATCATTGTCCTTTTGATTACTTAATTTCTTAATAATAATATATTTACTTAACAGAAGTTTGATACTCTTGAATACGTTCATTCTTAAAGCATAAAGAAATATCTTTTACTTCCCATAAGTTTTGTGATAGCTAGTAAAGATATCCGTATGATGCATGAGCTTTCAAATTACCCATTTTTTATATATTGCTTTCTCTTCAGTGTTGCCCTGGAAACTGTCCACCTTGTGATCAAAACTGCGGACGGACTTTAGGATGTAGAAACCATAAGTGTCCATCTGTCTGCCACAGAGGTAAAATTTAACAATGGCTCTAATTTTCTGTTTGTGTTTACATGAAACTTTCTAATTAATAAGCAATAGTCACATTCTCTATCTTACTTGAGCTCTTAAGAATGTTGAGAAAAAATGAGAACTGCCAATGTTCTTTTGTTGTGGACAAAGAGATGGAAGCTGCTGAGGGTTCACTTGGGCAAATGTTCAGGAGAGCAGTGTAAATGTTTGAATCCAGATCTTCCAAATATAAGAAGTATTGTGCTTCCCTAGCCCTGAGTTACTGTTTCTTCACTTCCTCCTGACCTTCCCTATGGGTTTTTAAAACTTAATTAAGATAGAGATTTTTCAGTATTATAGTAAATTTTATGTTTCTTTGGAATTAAGCATAGTGAGATATTAGATATATCAACGCCAGTGGTTCCCAAACATTTTTTGTCTGAGGAACCCTTTATTTTTTGGAAACAAAAAGCTTTTATTAATGTGGATTTCATTTATTGACTTTATTGTATTTCACATTAAAATGTCGTATTTATTATTTTGTTCTAAAATAGCAATAGTAAACCATTACATGCTAATATAAATAACATGATTTTTGGTAAAGCCAAGTGTATTTCGTAAAGTGAAATGATAGTTTTATGTTTTTGTTTTTAATACCTTGTTTCATATGTCTGTTTCTGCATTTATTCTGTTATGATATCCCTTGTCACTAACTTGTTTAAAATTCCATGTATAGGAGTCCTGTTGCAGTCTCCTTGGCTGGGTCTAAGGGACTTATGTGGTTCCTAGACTACATTTTGAGAATTGTATCCTAAGTCATAAATAGATATTTTTTATTATTTGCCAAGTACTAGAAGCTGAAATTGTAAGACTAAACAACATTGACAAAATTACTGCTTTTTAAGAATCTTATTTGACTCTTCCCTGTGTGGCAAATACAATTACATTAATGTGGAGATATTGGATAGTGACAAGGATTAAAAGAATGCTAGAGTAAAAATACAAGCATGATGATAGGGATGGAGTAGCTGTTTTATACACTGTGACCAGGGAGAACTTGGAAAAGGTGATTTTGAGGAGGAGACCTGAATAAATAGAGGATTAAGCCACATGAATGTGGAGGGGGCGGGGAGTATTCCAGGAAAGAAGCAGTGATGCAAAGTAGTGTGCACAAAGGGAAAAATGGAAGATAGTAGGTCAGGCTGATGGTGACATAAAGAAGATAAAGGATTTTTAGGACCTTGGAACCCTGTAAATCATTGGCCTTTATTTAGGAAATGGGAAAATTATTTGACTGCTAAAAAAACTGAGTCAATAGTTCAAAATTTTGAAAGAAAACGTCAGACCTAGTTCATTTTTTACTAACTTCTAGCAAATATTTATAGGGTATGTAAAAGTTTAGTTTGTTTAGGGTGTAAAATTTTCAGCTTTTAAAACCATGTGACAAAGAAATAGGAGAAAATTATAATCCATTCTGGCTGATCAGCTCATTTGTACAAGTGTTAAAATTGAAGCTTCTCAGATTCAGATATCCGGTATTAATATGTCATTTGGAAGTTAGGTTTATTTCAGTAATGTGTGTCTATTTTAACTTTAGATAATTTCATCATGTGATTTTTAACAGAATGAATTAAAGGGAGAATGTGTAAAGTGATTGATAAGATTCAACACCTTCATTTGACAAAAATTTAATTAGAAGCAGAAAAGAACATTCTTACCACAATTCAGAGTGTCAGGCAAAAGGCTAGTGCAGACATACCTTGTGGAGAAGTACTGAAAATTCTTTCTCATAATATTTGGAAGCAAAGCTTGTAAGAGTTTCAGTATTTGTGAAAGACTGTTTCTTAAATGAAAAATAGTTAACATATTTCTTCATATCAACAAGTCTCATGTTTTCTTGTTGTCTCAGAGGTATCTTCATTTTTACCTCAGTTTGTATGACTCAGAAACAGATTGACAACTTGCCACCTATTGATCTGTCTCAAGTCTTAAACTGTAATTTCCCTTGTTTTTCCATGATTTATTTGTTAAAGAAACCAGATTGCTTTATTTGATTTCTCAGTCTGATCGGAGACTGTGTTTGTGTCTATGATAATATTTAACACATTTTGCATTTCTTCCAAATTGTAGAGTTGAGTCTAGAAGTTAATTCAAATTCAAGTTTGATATTTTTTGTATCTTTTTTCAACATGCTTAATTAGATTCAGAAGAAGCTTATTACCCTTGAAAAAAATTTCCCCTGCTATAAAGTATGTGGATGTTTTTTGTACAACTTCAGACCATATATGCCTATATATCTATATCTATATCTATATCTATATCTATATCTATATCTCTCTATGTATGTGTATAACCATCTCATACCACTGCTCATCATTTGAGATAGTCTCCTAATCAAAATTATAGCTATATCACTCAGAGGGAGAGGATAACTTTTCATGATGACTTCATGAAAATGTGATTTACAATTCTTTTTAAGGTCAGAGTCATCTTTTAGTGCTTCTGGAATTACTGCAGTTGAGTTCGTTTTGGCTGTTGACCTACTGGTCACTCTACTTACATTTATATATGCTGCTTTTTTTGTATCACTGAGGCCATTTTAATTAGTCCTGATGTAGACAGCTGTTTTACTTGTCACACTATACCTGTAATAAATTCTGTTGATCAATAGTAACACTATTTAGAAAAAAATGTTTCTTCTGAAAATTTAGTTTTTAAAAATGATTCTGAAGTTTAGAGTTACAAAAAGGTTGATTTTTATTAAATTCTTTGGATTGCTGAATATATTAGTAAGTGTAGATGCTAATATGCTGATCACCTTGGATCATGTAACATTTTTTGAAAGATCAAAATAAAACAATGGTATGATAACTTGTCTCACATTACTGTCAAGATGAGACCTTACTGAATTATAGTATTTGCTATATTTCTGTTTATGATGTTTTTTCTCTTTTAATTTGTGTTGTTCCAGGGGACTGTTTTGATCTAATTCTAGGGTTGTTAAATGAGGCTGTTTTCTGTTTTTCATCATTAATCTATATATTGGGTTAAATGCTTGTCAGCACTTCACTTTGTCCTGATACCTAAGCAGCACTCTCTTCAGTGCTCCTCAGTTGAAAACTCTTCTACCTTCCATATTACTTCCTTTCTGATGAACTTGTTTGGGAAAACTCAATTGGAGAAGAACCTTTAAGATGGTCTCAGATCTCAGATCCTGTTAAATAGAAATTTTTATAGCCTGTGGCAAAAGGTTTCTGTAATTGTGTTGCTATGTATTTCCATGAAACGAAAACAAAGGAGCAAAAAGCTGAAACCCAGCAGTTTTTAAAAAAATATTTAAAAGAAAAATTTGAAATTATGACCATAAATGAAAATTTATAATTTAGTCTTTTATAGAACACAAGTAATGGAAAACTGACTGTACATGTCAATAACCATCATCATGTCACCAGGGAGAAGTTGTTCTTTATTGGAGGATTTGTCTGAAAATAGTGTACTGTGTAGGTGAGATAATAGGCAAAAAAGATTATTTATTGTCAATGTTAGACTTTTCAAAAGTTTAAATATATTTTTTATTGTAGTTTTGAATGAGTAATATGTTGAATTTGTTTGGAACACATTATTTTAATAAAAATTTTTAGCTATTAAGGTTCTAGTGTGTATGTAGAAAAGTGTAAAAACCGTAAAATTATAGTGTAGTGAATTTTTAAATAAGATTTACTAATTAGAAAGCCTGAGTTACAGAGAGAGAAAAGGCCAAGGAAGACCGAGATGAAGACTTATTTCATGCCAAGAATGGCTGCAATGGACAGGGCTAGGGTTGAAGCCAGGTGTTTGATCCAGGTCTCCTTATGGGTTCAAGGCCCAAGTACTTGGGTGTCTTACATTGTTTTCACAGATTTGCCCACATTGGCAGAGCAGGACTGAATGAAGTAAGGCAACTAATTCATGAACTGGCACCCATTTGGGAGAGGGTGTTGAAGTCTACAGTCTAACCCTCTAGGCCACAGTGGCAGCAGCCACTGTGATGAATTTTTACAAAATAAACTTCACCATGTAATCAGAACTCAAATCATTAGGTGCAGCCTGGCTAGCATTTCCATGATCCTCCTGTGCACTTGATAATCTGTGATTTCAGACAGCGTAGCTTTTGTTTGTTTTGTTGTCATTCTTAATTCTTCTTGTAGAATATCCAATTGTGCAAAGAAAGAAAAACCCAAATAGATTGATTTTATTATTATTAAGAAAACCTCTTTTTGAGTATCTTTTGTTTGTTTTTGCAGGCAGTTGCTACCCTTGCCCAGAAACTGTAGATGTGAAGTGCAGTTGTGGTAAGACAAAGGTGACAGTACCCTGTGGTCGAGAACGTACCACAAGACCACCCAAGTGCAAAGAGCTGTGCAGGTTAGTGTGAAACTGTGGTGCCTTACAATTAAAATATATATATATGTCATTGGTATTTAATTTTACATTTTTTCTTTGTGTTACGTGCTTGTTGTCACAGTATGCTCTTTGTTTATTAAACTAGAAGGCATATAAGTGAGTAATTGTACTTTAGATGTGATTGTTTAATAACCAATAATTTTAAAAAAATTTATGATTTAGTCGACCACCAACTTGTCATCATACAAGTCAAGAAAAGCATCGCTGTCACTTTGGCCCTTGTCCCCCGTGTCATCAACCTTGTAACAAAGTTTTGGAGAAGTGCCGTCACCGGTGTCCTGCTCCGTGTCATGACCAAGCATTAGTAAAGCAGTCTGGCAGGGTAAGAGAACACTCTTAACATTGAGACAGTCTATTACTGTGGTCAGATTTTCCTGATTTTACTTAGCTACTTAAAAAGGAGTGATCAGGCACTTCTTGTGTTAGAAATCCTGTATGACATGGTACGCACTGGGGTATAAAATAAAGAAGACTTAATCTTTTGCTGTATAGAGTATAGAAATGGAGACAAAGCAGTAAATAAATGTTGATTATTACAGTGTAATGTTCCTGTCATAATTATGATATACGTGAATCTGGCAGTCGTTCACATATTGTGGCTTAGGGTGATACTTACTCTAGTCTTCTTGAAGATCTAGTCACCTGTCCTGTAACTTTCAAGCCCTCACTATGTGTAAGCCATCTTCTAGGTGATAGGAAATAGCACAGAACAAAATGGTGTAGATTGCATTCAACTAGTGGTTTTGGAGTTTTACGACTGTGTTTCTCATTTTCCTTTTGGCTTATGAGAATTAAAGGAGGCCATACTGCCTTTGATTTCTTCAAAGACTGTAGCCTGCCTCAGTTTTAATGCCAAATGTTTATGGAGAAGAACAACTGATAGGGATGAAATAGGACATTTTAGAAAGCACGGTTTTCACCCTGTTTAAACACAGGATACTTGGAACTATTAGATTTTTAAAATGACCATTTAATTTATTTCTTCAGAGTTTAAATTGTTACCATGTTTTACTTAACAGCACCAGCCCACTGGCCCTTGGGAACAGGCTTCAGAGCCAGCATTTATTCAGACTGCGTTACCTTGTCCACCATGTCAAGTTCCAATTCCTATGTAAGTATTACCATTTTAACTTAAAAAATTTTGGGACATGGTTTTATCAGTATCTTAAGTTAACTGCTCCTCTGTTTCTTAATTTATTTCATCATGGAGTCTTGCCTGTGAACTAGTCACTATGTTAAGCTGCTTTTTAAATTTTTAACTTTTTAAGATATATTTGCTGTGTGGCTTAGAAATCATCTATGAACAGTTTTTCCTTTTTGATCTTCTCCCTCAGCTGGATGTGGATGTTCTTACTAATTTTGTATAGCTGTTTGGGCTTCTAGTTATAGAAACAAATTTAAGAGAGTCATCATTTCTTAGATTTCCTGACGATTCCCATTCCAGAGGTTAAGGACAGAGGAAAGCCAGATAAGTCAGCCTTGAAAGACAATACTTGAAGGAAATTATTAGCAATGAAGTATTTCTTGGCTGAGCAAGAAACTCAGGCTGAGCTGTGAGGATACTGAGCTGTGAGGAATTGAACCTGCGGTAATAAAGGAATCCTGGCATGTTTCACGTTTTGAGTAGAGGCACTGACATGTTCTAGGGGAAAAGGGAGCAGAGTTCTGATAAGCAGCATACAATTAATGGAGATGCTGTTGGCTGTTGTCTGTAATTAAAGTTCCGAAAGACACATGGGTATATCTTGTTCATTGGTCTTTTAAATAGAAGATTCTTATTTCTGAAAGCTTCCACTTTTTTTTTTTACTACTTTGCTCACAGTTAAACAGCTTATATCTTCATACTTACAGGTTGTGCAGTCAAGTTGGGAGGCAAAGTATGATTGTGATCTATATCCAAAAGTAGGGTGGTGTTAGTCTGTACACAATATCATTAGCACAGAGGTTATTGTGAGTTGTTAAGACTATTCTTTAAGGAACTATATGGCTGTGATCATGAGGAACCAAGTTGTTTTATAAAATAAATTTTATAAATAAAATTTTCCTTTAAAAGACATTGAGGAGACACTGGTATTATAATTTATAGGCAGTCTGATACTCATACAATAGTTGATAACTTTTGAATTCCTTAATCTGTTTTATAGTAAAATTATTAAAAATGTTTGTTATTGTGCTTGAAATCTAGACTGGGTTGAACATTGTTTTGATTGTGGAAAAGCTGCCTGCTGAATCTTTTGTCTGTTAGGCTCAACACTTTTCCCTTTTCTTTTGTGCTAGTACTGTGTTCTAATTTCCAATTCTAGTTATTCAGTGCTAGTGGTGGGTCAGAAAGCAGTGGCCCTTGCTTGATAACTTTGTGTCCTATGCCTTGCTATGATTGATTACCATTTTGCATATGTATTTATTCTTAACTTTAAGAAACCTGTAGGCATTATCATCTTTGCTTTAAATATCCTTTTTGAGGAATTTGTAATGTTTTATTTTTTCTTTGTAGGGAATGTCTTGGGAAACATGAGGTGAGTTATACGCAGTTTTTCTGTAAAGTATATAATCTATACCTCTTCTGTATTAGAGTTGTTAGAAAGGACGCTGTTGAAGTGGTGTTATGATTTCATTATAAAGAGCACAAAAGTGTGTCTGCTAATTGTAAAATATACTGTGTTTTTATTTGAGAATTAGCTGGGGCATATTTTTTCACTATATGATTTCATTTTTGTCATTTGTCTCTTAGGAAAGCATAGTTTGTTTTTTGACATGTTTTGGAGACTTTTTTTCATTGTCTGTCTTAGTTTTGATAAGATTTTCTGTTCATGAAAATGTACTAGCCCTTTGTTAAACTTATTCTTAAATGATAGCAGATTGTTTTGGAAATAGGTTCAGAAGATTCTCTGTGTTTATGCTGTGCTGGCTTCACTTTTTCCTAAACAGGTGAGTCCTCTGCCATGCCATGCTGTAGGACCCTACTCTTGTAAGAGAGTTTGTGGCCGAATATTAGATTGTCAGAATCATACGTGTATGAAAGAATGTCACAGAGTAACTGAAGCTGATGTCTGCACTGGCAAAAACAAGGTAATATCCTTAGGTTGACTATGTATTTGAAACTTTTCTTTTTTTCAAAATGATACAATAAGTACTTTTCCATTTTTCTTTAGTGTCTTTGTATGTTTTGCCCTCATTCCTTCCTTGGCTGTCCTGGCAGCCTGCTATATGTTACTCTGCGTCTTGGTGCTGCCTTGTAGTAATGCAGTAGTAATGCACCTTTCGGCGTGGAGCTGTGTACATGATGGATCTGTGCTAATGCAATATCACCTATGCAATTCCATATCTCTGAGTCTAAAGCATTTGTTTTCCATTGAAAACAATTTTTTCATATCTGACTCAGATGGTAGACGATGTTCAGTTTTAATAAATGCTCAATCTTTTTTGCAATGTCAGTAGCATCAGAGATGTATGTTTGTGTGTATAATTCACACTTTAAAAGCGTATGAGAGGGGTGGGCACAATAGCTCGATTGGCTGATCCTCTACCTGTAAGTGCCAGCATTCCATATGAATCCTGCTTCATGTCCCAGCTGCTCATTTCTGATCCAGCCTCCCTGCTTGTGTCCTGGGAAAGAGTGGAGGACAACCCAAATCCTATAGACTCTGCTGCAATGTGGGAGTCTCGGAGAAGGCTCATGGGTCCTGGTTCCTGGCTTTGGATCAGCTCAGCTCAACCTCAGCCATTGTCGCCACTTGGGGAGTGAGCCAGCAGATGAAAGATTTTCTATAGCTCTCCTTCTCTCTGCACATCTGCCTTCCTAATAAAAATGAAATTAAATCTTCAGAAAAAAGTGCATATGAGAAATCAAGTATTCACAAAGCTCTAAAAGCCAGTTTATAAAAAAAGCAATGTAAATAATAACATTTTACCTGTTTATTTGAAAAATAATTATTCTCCATAGATTTTCATTCTGCAAAGAATTAACAAGTATCTTAATGAGGAATAAGTCAGAAACTTTTTTTCCTAAGTAACATTAAATTTAAAAATGCTTAAATTATTAGTAAGAGTTGTGTTGTTGGAAATGTTACTTGTATTATGAGTTACTTTTTTCTTTGGCAGTTGGAATGCATGATATGTAGTATTTGTTATTCCTTTATTTTTGTTGTTAGGATTTATTTATTTGAAAGGCAGAGTGACAGAGAGAAAAAGACCTTTTCTATCCAGTGATTGATTCCTCAAATATCTGCCATGGTCCGTGGTAAGCCAAGATAAAATCAGGAGCTGGACCTCCATTTGGTTTCCCACCTAGATGGCAGGGGCCCAAGGCCTTGGCTGCACGTCTTACTAAGATAGTCTTCCTTAGAACATGGAACTTGAGGAGCTAGCATTGCTTGGTGAAGATTGTCCTTATTGAGTGAAAGTGAGTAGATAAAATTTTACTTTATTGTTTTTTTCTAATGCTGTTTTTTAGAACGTGATTTACAGTTTTAATAGATATATTGCATGTAGTCAGTTTTATGTAAAAGATGAGACTTTAGGAATGGTGTGGTGGCTCAGCTGCCTAATCCTGCACCTACAAGTGTCAGTATCCCACATAGGTGCCAGTTCATGTCTTCGCTGCTCCACTCCTCCTCTAGCTCCCTGCTTGTAGCCTGAAAAGCAGTAGAGAATGGCCCAAAGCCTTGGGACGCCAGATCTACGTGGAGACCTGGCAGAAGCTCTTGCCTCCTTGCTTTAGATCAGTTCAGTTCTGGCTGTTGTGGCCATTTGGGGAGTGAATCAATGGATGGAAAATGTTTCTCTTTCTGTTTCCCCTTATCTTTGGAAATCTGCCTTTCCAATAAAAAACCTTTAGAAAAAAATATATATATAAAAGGTGAGAGTTTGATTTAGTTTGTAGGTTTGTAAGCACAAAAGTGTATGAATAATATGTTTACTATCTTACTGTTTTTCGTGTGTATATTTTTAAGATAATGAGAATGTATATCATTTTAGAATTAAAGCAGTACTTACTTTTAATGAGATAAAAAAGTTTCATAACCTTCATGTATGGAAACTTTGGACTTTTGTGCTGAGGTGGTTTGTTTCCTTGCTGTTGTTCAGGCCGGCCCAGAATGCCTTCACTGTGAAGAAGGATGCTCTAAAGCGCGGCCACCGGGTTGTCCGCATCCGTGTGTCTTGCCATGTCATCCTGGAGAATGTCCTCCTTGTGTTCAAATGCTGAGAATAAAATGTCACTGCAAGATTACAAGCCTGTATGTCGAATGTAGGTGAGTGGACTCCAGAAAAATTCATATTGTACTGAAGTTATTTGAATGATGCCTTGGTCTATTTCTGAACCCTACTTTTTGCAGAGTGTTTTCATTTGTGTTCCTCAGCTTCTTCAAGCCTTTCGTTTTCTGTAGTGATTTGAGAGGAAGAAGTGCAGATCACCTTACCTTCCACTTGCTTCACTCTGCTTTTAACCAAGGAAATTCTTTTTTCTATTTGAGGATTCTATGTAAGACTTTTTTTTTTTTTTTATGAGAAAAGCTACATGAGTGCTTTAAAAGCTAGAGAAACAGTATAACAAATTGTTCAAATAATTGTTAAAGTAGAATTTGATCAAAACTTTTCTCATGCATTGTTACTTAAGCATAATTGTTAAACTATATTTAAAGGATAGGTTTTTGTTTATTGTAAATGTTACTCTTAGAGCTTTTATTTACTAGGAATGACCTGTATATCTTGATTATTTTAAAATTTAAAGTTTTGCTTTTGGATCATTTGGAAGGAAAAGAATTTCAATTGTTTTATATTAAATAGTAATCTAACATAATTTACCATTAACGTCAGCTATGTAACATACAGGTTTGTAATTAGACAAGTATAACTTGTTCTTCAAAATTTCAGTCACTAGTTTTAAGCATGCATTGATGATTCTGGTGTAAGTTATCAGTCATTAATGTGATAGTTGCCAAATGGTAATTTTGTAGTTGCGTTGTCTCTTCTACATTTATTAGCTGGTATTTTCTTATAAGAAATACCCTCTTTCTCTGATTTATTAATAGTAGCATAGTACAGTCAATTATTATTTTACTCATATCTACAAACAGGCATTTTGATGTTTAAATTATTGGACGTCATAGGCCTGTGGAACGTCTTTGATCTGCTCACATGTCCTTTTGATATTCTTTCATTATGTTTTGAGCATTTCTTGCTTTCTAGCATAAGAATAATATCCAAGGCTCATTTCGTGCTTGACCTCTTGTAACCCAGGGATGAGCATTTGTCCCTAGAATCTTTTACTGGGCAGTGAAAGCTGTTTAAAGTACTTACTGTTCTCATCTGTCATTACCTCCAGGTATTAAAGATTACTTTTAAATTTATTTTTTTATGAATTGGAATAGAAAATTTATTAATTTCCAGCATGAATAGAGAACTTACTCAAAAACAACCTGCTTTAAAATTCATATTTTAGACATTTCTATTCTCTACAACTAGAGTAAGAATGAAAATATGCCATAAACTTTTTGAGTAGAGCCAGTGTAAAATGTCATGATACTGTTGAATAAAACTTTAGCCAAGAAAATTGAATTGTTATATTAGAGAATATAGGTAACTTAATATTTTAGTGTTTATAGCTAATTTAATGAATATTTATGGTAATTATTCTGATTAACATTAAACTAAACTGATAGTGCATTTTGACAGTTTTGTCTCATAACACAAAATAGAAAAAGTAGGAAAAGGGAAAATAAAGGAAAGGAGAAGAAAGATAAAGGAGAAGAAGAAAAATGAAATATGTGCATGCTATAGGTTGTTGTAGATTGTCAGTAGCTGCTAACTGGGATGGTGTAGTGTTACGGTTCTGGTCTCTTGGCTACTAGAAAGTAGTTATATTCCTTGATGTTGGGACTCTTTCTTTAAGGTTTATTTATTTTTATTGGAAAGTCAGATTTATAGAGAGGAGGAGACACAGAGAAAGATCTTCTGTCCACTGGTTTACTCCCTAAGCGACTGCTGTGGCCAGAGCTGAGCCAATCTAAAGCCAGAAGCCAGGAGCTTTTTCCAGGTCTCCCACATGGGTGCAGAGTCCCAAGTCATTGGGCTGTCCTTTACTACTTTCCCAGGCCACAAGCAGGGAGCTAGAGAGGAAATGGAGCAGCCGGGACATGAACCATCTGGGATTCCAGTGCTTGCAGGACAAGGGTTTAGCCACTGAGTCATTGAACTGAGTCTGATGTCTGTGGCTTTTTATTAATTTTTCTGAGTCGTAGAAGCAAATAAAGCACGGGCTAATCTAAAATTTATTAGTTTCTAGTATTGATAGATAATTTACTAAAAAAACATAAAAGATGTTTTTAATATCCCAACTGCCTTTTTAAAATTAATAACCTAAATTTTTTTTGAAGTAATATTAAAAACGAGATTTTGATTTTTCATACCGTATAGTGTATTTAATGAGGAATTCCAGTTATGAGTTACAGTGAGTTGGTCAGTAGCAAATGATGGACTGGAAGGAACTGTTAGGTCAGACACAGATGTTATTTTGTGGTTCCTTCTTGGGATTATTGCCCTTTTGACACTTCATTTGTTGGTAGGAGGTGAAGGGGACCAGGATAGTTTGAGTAAGTAATTTGATGATAATTGTTAGGAATGGAGACATAATTAAAATGTAAGTTAAGGAAAAGTGAAGAAAGGTGGTTTTCCAGATATAATAGAAATTGTGAATTAGCTTTAGAAAAGTTATGCTGTGAAATGGATTTGTTTGTAATGTATCAAATTTTCTCTCTTATTCTTAGACAGTTAACCACAGCTGATGAAAAAGAAAAGCATCTCCTCAGCTGTTGCAAAAATCAGTGCCCCAAAGAGGTAAGCTGTGGGAGACCTTTAAAGTTGTGTTCTCTGGGTGTTTCTCTGAGACTTTATTCTCTCTCTTCTTTCTTGTCAGGCCTTTACTGGGTCCAGTACTAATTAAGGTTCAGAAAAGAAAGGTGATTAATTTGCTAAAATACCTCATTTTTATAACCTCATATGGTTAGGATGGATTCAAATCTCCTTATGAAATCTGAGGATGCCATAGCTAAGAATGACCCATTCATACTTTTTTTTTAAGAAAACAATTTAAAAATACTTTATATACCTTATACGTATACTTCAGGAACTGTATAGACAGAGGCAGTTGCACAGTATATCCATAGTAGGTTATTTGAAAAAGTAGCTGTGTATATGCATATAAATGTGCTTAAATAAAGTCAGATGCTGTGGGAGAACACTCATATCTGTAACATTTTGAAGAAGCTATTATAGAAACCATCTCTCTGAACATTTTTGTTGTGCACTTTGTACTTTTACCATTCAGATCATTAAATCTATAAAGCTCATTATTAAATATATAAATCATATGAAGTTGTGTTGTTAGAGAGTCTGTTGTTTGGTCAAGCATTCTGTTAAAGCTGAAAGTACCAAAAGTGACTCAAAAGACTGATCCAAGTAGAAGGTAAATAGTAGTTATTTTTCTTGGCAGTAATTTAAGAAACCTAAGTAGTAGTTCATCTATTATCATCTAAAGGCAGGGTGGTGTTACCATCTAAAGGGATGTTTTTGTTTGGAATGGAACGTGAGGATTACTTATTTTGAGTAGACATTTGAAAAGGAATCATTGTGAGGTATAGATGTGTTAAAGACTATCTCATTCCCTTAATTTCTTATGAATACTTATTTTTGTGTATCTCACTCTGTTTAGAGTTTGGGAGAGGTGGGAAAGCTTTAAACATAGTAATCAATCTTAGGTTAAATATAAAACTTAAAGTCTTCTTTCAACTAAGGCTTTAAACTACTCAAGTATTTTTGCCCAGTTTAAGAACTTAGAAATTGAACCTGGGGATTTTAAAAATAATTCATGTGAAATTACAAAAATGGCCACTTCAAATAATTTTGTTATTATCTTACTTCTTTCTTTGTTGGGAAAGTGAAACTAGAGACATGGGATACTTAAAATTTAATTTTCTAAATTCTTCAAATCCCAAATTTTTCCTTGTTAAAATAAATTTCATTTCATCTCAATTCATATTCCAGGTAATAAGTGAATGAGAATATTTTGTTTCATCTGACTGAATAACTTGATGTGTATATATGTAGAAATACAGTACTTTGAAGAGTTACTGATTTTCAAATGAGTGTTGCCTTAGCTGTGATTAAGTTGTAATGCTGTCATAACATTTGGTAGACCATATGAGTGGATACTATTTACTTAAAATTTATTGTCTATTTTCATAATTTTCGATTTGATGTTCTTTCTTGAGTTCTATTGTTGAGTTTCTGGAGTTCTTTATATATCCTGAATTTTAATCCTCTATCAGTTGTGCAATTTGCAAATATTTTTTTCCATTCTGTTGGTTGCTTCTTCATGTTGTTTATTGTTTTCCTTACAGTGCAGAAGCTTCTTAGCTTTATATAATCCCATTTGTTTATTTTTGCCATAGTTGCCTATGCTGGCATATTTTCTAAATATGATATATTTTGCTTTCACCCCCATCTCTTGCAGCTTCACTGGTGCTTTCATCTAGTAGTTTGATGGTATTGGGTTGTAGATTTCGATCCTTCATCCAATTAAAGTTATTTTTTTTTTCTTGTTGCTTACTTCTGTACACGTATATCTAGTTTTCCCAGTGCTGTTTGTTGAAGAGACTATGCTTTCTCCTTGGGTTGATTTCTTGTTATGCCACAATGTTGACCTCCTCTGGGATTCTTTCTTTAAAATAATTGTTGAGGTGCTGGGGAAGTAGAGAGTGACCAAAACGTAAATACATAACTGCTTTGTTGCTTTTATTCTAGCTTCCATGTGGTCATAGATGTAAAGAGATATGTCATCCTGGTGAATGTCCCTTAAATTGTAACCAGAAAGTAAAACTTAGATGTCCTTGTAAAAGAATTAAAAAGGTAAATATTGTAAGTTATTGAAAATATTTCTGTATGTGAGTTGATTTTTTTGGGGGGGTGATGCCTTCAGGTTCTTGGCTTTATTTTTTGCCTTCTATTTTAAACCATTTCTTTGAATATTTTTATTATTGTTAAAATTAACTGACCTATTTCTGGAAATGTTTTAAAAAATCAGCCTTGGCAATTTAGTTTTCTACAGTTTAATAGTAGGAAAAAGATTATTTTATGTTGGAACCCAACTTAATGCCCTTTTGGTTCGAAGCAGTGTGTTACAGATTTATAGTCTTTGAGCAGGGGACATAATGTGAGTGACACAGTGAGTTTCATGGCTTAACAATGATCAAGAATTTGTCTTTGTTGCTCTGATTTGTGAAACTATCTTTTGGCATCAGTAGTGCCTTTTGAAAACATTGCTTTAAAAAGACTTCATATGGACAGCCTTATAATATTCAGACAGTCAGGCTGGACCATCTGACATTGTACCAACAATGTCGGGGTACACTTAAATAAGAGACTGATAGAATTATGATTCCTTGTGAAGGACTACACTATTGTAACAGAGTGGGAAAAATCTGACGGGGGTGGGAGTTTGGGGGGAATCCCAACCTATATAAAAAAGTACCACATAATTCAAAATTCAAAATAAAAATATTTTAAAAATAATATTCAAACTTGGAAAGAATTAATTTCAGTATAATATACTGGTAAAGGAGGAATATATGGGCATAAACCAAGTGACTGGCCCAGTGGGAGCAATATGTGTACCATTTCATGACACCTGTGAGAGAAAAGACAAGGGTCCCACAGCCACTGTTTTAATTCTCATTTTCCTCTGAGTTCCTTGCAATGCTAATTCCTTTGAAATTTAATGCTTGTAACTTGCTGTTAGTGATTTGACTGCTAATCATGCTTATAATGTTAAGCTGTTAGGTAAACTGCTTTTATGACATTTAGTCTGGACTTTGAGGGAAAGCTCATTTGGAATTTGGATTATTTGCAGGAATTGCAGTGCAACAAAGTACGTGAAAATCAGATTTCAGTAGAATGTGACTCAACATGCAAGGAAATGAAGAGAAAAGCATCTGAGGTAATGTCTCATTAAATATTATTTTCAGTGTACTAATGCTTTTCCTACTTTCGTACATTTGTTGATGTGTTCATTAAAAATAGCTTTGAAATCACATCATTTTACTTTTGTACTAAAGACCTACTTACTATATTATAGGCCTGTTTTGAATCTGGTTGTGCTTTTGTTATTATAAATTTTTAATATATTTACTCAAGGAGAGAAATAAAAATTTTAATTTCCAGTTTTTAGTTTTTGAATTCTTTGAATTATGTCTAATATCTGTTACAGCTGTTAAGCTGAAAATCCCATCCTTCTGTCTCTTCCCCCATAATCGCTTAGTACCTTGGTAAGCATTCTCAGCAAAACATGTATGCTTTAAATGATTTTCATTATAAAGCTTCCACGGTTGCTTTGGGTTGGTGGGGTCTGGATGAAAAGTTGTTAAAATTCTATATATAATGTGATGATTAAATTATTAATTTGTTTAAATGTATATAATCAGATAAAAGAAGCAGAAGCCAGAGCTGTTCTTGAAGAAGAAAAGCGAAGACAGCAGGTAACTAAGCAAGTTTAGGCGTATAGACATTATTGTTAGTTTTTGTGGTAACATATAGTAAATTCCAAGTACACACTAGAGCTTGTCATACTAGGAATCTAACATAGCTTTTTCAAAACAAAAATGAGATATCTGACTTTACTGCAGGTGTGCTAAAACACTAAGAAGGCTTGTGACCCTTATGTTCCCAAATATTTTATCTATTTTTAATTTACTTCCACATGAACTTCAAGTTGTAACTTCTTGTGGTGGGAACATTGGAGAAAGGGTGTCCACATGGTTGTAGGGCATTTCCTGGGCACCAGGTCTTCACTCATCTAAAAATATTTGCATTTTGTTTTGCTGAGTTGAAAATTGTCTCGAATACATAAGGGTTGTTTCCTAGCCAGTATATTCCTTTCACTGAATTGCTCTTTTATTTCCCCATTGGATCACTCTTCAGGAATAAATGAGCTGTTTTGTATTTCTTTGATAGCAAGTACATTCCTGATTATCCTGGTTTCCTCAGAGGCTCTCGGGAGTAGCTCAACTTTTTAATAGTGATGTGCGATTATTTCTCAGTTTATCTTAAGGTGTTTGATATGAATGAGGAAATGGAAACTTGTGTGACATGTAGGAGGATGTTAGAAATAGTCTGGGTGCCAAGGGAAGAGTGGCCAGGATGACCTCTGACACTTCGTGCTTCTGTACCGTTGATTTGCCTGCTCTTTCCAAAATAAGTTAGCAGAACTTAGTATAGCAAAACGCCGGTTGACTAGAATCTTAGAAGATTATTTACTTGTTTTCTCCAGATGAAAATCTTATATATATTTCTTATGTATTGATTCTAAAATGAATATTTAGAACGTACTATTAACTTGTTAAGTACACTCATCATTTAAGCATCAGTTATTTTTCTGTACCAGTACTCGTCAGCTGGTTGTAAGATCTTTTCTCTTTTTTTGTATATTGGCGACATTGCAAAAAATATTCAGACCCTTGGGCTTCTTGAAATACTACTTAGTACTAAGTACATCATTAGCTCTTCAAATGTAGTTAATGGCCACAATAATGGATAGTTAGCTGAAGTTTATGTTTCCTTCTCAAATATTTACTCTCTTACATGGTTATCTCGCATGGAAATTACGTGTATATTTCAGCTTATAATTTTATTTTTGTTAACTGTATTATTGTGTATTATATTACCATATTTCAAACTAGTAAGTGCCAATCAGTAGAATGAAAGTTCACCTTTGGTAATGAATGTGACATATTTATCTTTGTGTAGAGCCAGTCTTTCATTCTTCTTGAAATAGTCATTTTTGGCTTACAGGATGAAACATTTTTTTCCTTGAATTTTCGCTGTTTGTATATGTATTTGAAACAGAGGAAACCTAACTTCTGCCAGCTTTTTCATTCAAATTTTTCCCCTACAAACTACTGTTTATCACTTGCTTTGTAAAAGAGTAGAATTATAATTATCTTTTCTGTGGGCATCACTTAGTGCTGGCTAAAAGATATGTTGAAGTGTAAAAACACTCTGTGTATTTTAAAGACATTCAGTTTTAATCAGTTATATTAAGATTTGGTGTCAAAGTCAGGCCTACAGTCTGAAATCATCTTTTCTACTCCCCATTTGCCTTTCTTTAACCTAAATTCTAAATTTGTTGAACCCAACTGGTTGTAGAGAGGATTTTTTAAAAAAATTAAATGTGTTTATGATATTATCATTTCTGTTAAGACATTTCTCAAATTAATTTATTTTCATTGAAATGGGAAGTTTCAATTCAGTGTATGGATTGGATTTAACAACACTGACCTTGTTTTGATTCAGGCCGAACTGGAAGCTTTTGAAAACAGACTGAAGGGTCGCCGGAAGAAGAACAGGAAAAAAGATGAAGTGATTGTTGAGCTATCGTCCTGGCAAAAATATAAATATTACCTCCTTTCAGCATGTGGAATTGTGTTTGCAATGTTTGTGTGGTACATTGCCCATGACGCGTATTAAAAACATGTTTTGTTCTTTTAATATACCTCAGATTGGATTTAGTTAAGTTGCTAAATTTGGAATATTAAAATATATATCTATGTAGAACATGACAAATGTTAACAATCATCTCTGTATTCTCTTCCAGTTGTTGTTAGGAGGTTAGAACATTAAGCTTTACCTTGATTTGTAATCCAGAAAGACAGTATAACATTGTTTAAAGTAAAAGCATGGATGAAAATATTTCATGAGGCTTAGCTAATGAAAGAGTAACATGTTTGTTGTTCATTGTACTTCCCTGTATTAATTCAGTTATTTAATTGTTCAAGCCAACTTTTTTTCCCATAAATTCCTATAAAACTGAGCCATAGGTATATATGGTAAGGAGACTTTCTCAACATTTTGGTTACTTAGGACACTTTTTTGATCATGTAACTTTGTGCTGTTTTTAAAAAATGTTCTCTAAAATTGTAACAAAGTTGTATGATTGGATTTCAGAAGTTGGCTTATTAGAACGAAATTTTTATTAAACACTAGGCTTGATTCTTCATATGTGGCTATTTCTTGTGAAAGAAACTTTTAACTGGATTTGGCATGTTTTGCAAAACTTGTATGTATCTTCTAAAAATGAGAATAGGCTGAAAACTAATAGTTATGAGCAATATATTCTGAGCAAGGGCTTATGATTCTTATGTGCTTTATTCTCATTTCTTCTTATCACAGTTCTAAATGGCTAGAGATAAATAATTGGTTCTTATGAAAACAGACTGATGCAGAAGTCTCAGTATCAGACCTGTTTGAATTATAAAGCATTTTACGCAGTTTTGCTATTTAATTTTTGTATGTTAATGTTTTCATTAAAATTTTTTTCTATCAAATTTGTAATTTAGTATATTTATTTTTAAAATATCCAAGAGCATAAAATTTTAAGTTCTGCATTAATGTTAGTGTATGAAGGTAACATACACAGTGATTGATGGTGAAAAAATGGTAGGAGTGCATTTTAGAGAAATACAGAGGTGAATTTAGAAAATTTTAATGCCGTATTCCTTATTCGAGTATTAGTTGGTCTGGAATTAGAGCTAAAGGGTACCTCTGTTGATGGGCTTTAGTTTTTTTTAATCTTTTCCTATTGTTGTGTTACTGGTAGATGTTGCGGAAGTGCTAAATGAGCTCATCTATATTTAAATTTTTGCTTGTTTTCATTAGTATGAATCTTAGGAATATGAACGATTAGGTGTGTTTGTGAAGTCATTTCCATGTAATTTAGAGTCTTGAGCGGTTAACTGCAGGAAGCCTGTTCATATCCGTTGTTCTTGCTAAGGTGTTTTTCCAGTTTGTGGGGAAGAATGTACTGAGCAAAAGAGGGAGTATGAATGAACGATAAAGTTAAACTTTCTGTTTTGTTTTGTTTTAAATTTGTTTGGCTTGCTGAGACTTAATTAATTTTCCTAAAGTCACAAAGCTGTTAATTTATTCAGCCAACAAATGCTAGTCCAGTGTCTCAGGAGATTCTAGTGACTAGAGGTAATGGTGACCCTTTCCTTGAGATGGTTACTAGGGGGCGCAGGAGAGCAGGCAGGAAGACACCATTGAGGGTAACCTTGGGTTCATGTGTGATCCAGTGATGCAAGTGCTGGTGAAGGGGCACTAGCTGGTGGAAACTGGGAAAGACCCTCCAGGGTAGGGCTTTCTTCTTTCTGCAGTGGGCAGTGTTGAGAGGTATTAAGCAGGGAACAGATGGTGTTTTCCTAATTCCCAGCTGATACGTAAAGGAAAGACTCAAAGGGCCCAGTGGGCAAGGGCAGCACATGGGAATGCTGAGCAGCTCAGGCTCCTCCTGTGATGGTGCCCCAGTTGGAACATGTTTCCTCCCTGGCTCAAGTTCTCAGGGCTTCCCCCATCATCTGCAAAATATGCACAGTGAGTTCAGGGCAGGGAATGAAGTAGGACAGAGTAAATAAATAAATTCTTGGTCATAGGGAAGTTAAATTATGTGTTAATACTTCCTTGTTTTGAGAGAAAGTAGGATATATTGTCTTTGCTTTCAACTAAGTAAATTGAAGAATGGAAAAGGTTACATGACAAATAAAATTGTAAACATGTCATCTTGTTTCCTATTTACCTTGTGACATTCTATTTGAAACTGGTAGAATATATATATATATATATATATATATATTTCCATTGAAACATTTTTAGGATTTGTACAACACCTAACATTTACACAAATGTTCTGCTGATTTCTTGATTCACATCTAAATAAAGTACAGTTTCAAGATACAATTGTTAACTGAAAATGCCAAAGGAACTTGATTATAGCAAAGCACTGGAAGCATTGGCTTTTTTATTGGAAGGGCAGATTTCCAGAGAGGAGAGAGACTTCTCGATCAGCGGATTTACTCCCCCAAGTGGCCGCAGTGATCACAGCTGAGCCGGCTTCCCGGTCTCCCATGGCAGTACAGGGTCCCAAGGCTTTGGGCCGTCCTCTACTGCTCTTTCATTCCACAGGCAGGGAGCTGGATGGGAAGTGGAGCAGCAGGAACAAGAACCGACACCCATGTGTGATCCTGGTACTTGCAGAGGGAGGATTTAACCACTAGGCTATCGTGCCAGGGCCAGACTGGCTTTTTGTAAAGAAATCTATGATACTTGAATTTCATGCTTTGACTTCTAATTTCACAGATAAATCTCTGTGGTAGTGTTTAGAGATTTTTTTTGGTAGGGTTTTTTTGCTCTTCATGTTATTTCAAGAATAACGACAGAAGCAAACTTATTTTGGAAATAGGTAACATTTAAGACAAACTATGGAGACGTTTATTTCTTTTTGCTTCATCTTTGGCTAGATTCCTGGCACAGGGAACTCAATAGGTGACTGCCAGTATGCAGAGTCACATGACTGAAAAATAGGCCAGGTTCATACAGTAGTGGGAAAATGGTCACCCATGTGAGGCATCTAGCTTGTAGCTAATGGTGTTTTTCTAAGCTTCAGGCCTTGGAGTGCTTGAGTCTCATCTAGCTCTGTGTAATAAGGATTATCTTAACAGTAAAATCATGTCCAGAAGAAGTTTTAGTTGGGTGTTGGGTCAAGAACATCAGGGGTTCATCAGGAGCCAATGTTTTGGAGATGTAAGGAGCAGGGATCTTTTTTTTTTTTTGAAGATTTCTTTTAATTTGTATTGTAAAATTAGATAAACAAAGAGGAGGCGAGACAGAGAGGAAGATCTTCTGTCCATTGATTCACTCCCGAAGTGGCCGCAATGGCTGAAGCTGCACTAATCCGAAGCCAGGAGCCAGATGCTGCTTCTGGGTCTCCTACTCAGGTGTAGGATCCCAAGGCTTTGGGCCGTCCTCGACTGCTTTCCCAGGCCACAAGCAGGGAGCTGGATGGGAAGCGGGGCTGCCAGGATTAGAACCAGCACCCATATGGGATACAGAGGAAGGATCTTAAGTGGAGAAAGCTGCCGAAAGAACCCATGAAGACTAGGTGCCAACTTCTGCCTTGTTGCAAAGTGGTCATGAATCTTAGCTGTGGATTTGGAGTTGATATGTGATACTCCTGTCTTACTGGTTCTATGGAATTTGCCTATTATACTAAGTAGCAGAGGTCAGACCACTAGAAATCTCTCGTCTTAGGTCCTGTGAGGATGAGAAGCTTCATAGAGTGACGAAGAAACAGTTTTGGCCACGCTCTGCTAGAGCATGGGAGTGGTGGGAGGGAATTAAAAGCTGCATTGCCATGTTGAAGACTGAAGAGAGACCAGGTATCCAGCTGGCAAATGATTCTTCTGTGCTTAGAATGTTTTATTGAACCCTGTTCATGTTTGTGATTTGCTGAGCTTTTTTCTTGCTAAGCTTCCAGCTCTTGTTGGGTCCTGTTTTTACATGGTTCTCTGAAGAATTACCAATGGACAGCATGAAGTTCTGCAGTCCACATTTGCTTTATGTTTAAACATCCCTCAAGAGAGATTCCCTAACCGCCCTTACCAACTCACTTCATCCTCTAGCTTACATTTTTCCTTTGGAACACTGAACCATACCTGTCCTTGTGTTGTCGCCAGCCTTTGCTAGAATGTGAGTTTCAGGAGTCCTGGGGCTGATCCCTGGCCATGTGTGGTTGCTAGTATTCATTTCCTGTGGCCTTTATCGTAAATATCACATCTAGGGGGGGTTATGAAAGTAGAAATGAAGTCTTGCATAGTGCAGATGGCCAGGAGTTCTACATGAAGATGCTCCCAGGGTCGGTCTCTTCAGGCCCAGCAGGAGACACTGCCTTTTGCCTGGCTTGTGGGCAGCAGTGCAGCAGTCCATGGCACTTCCTTTCTTGGAGATGCCATGGTTGGCCTCCAGCTTCATGTCATTGTTCCTGGTGTCTTATAAGGACATTTTCCTTGGTCTCCATAATAGTCCTATGAGGTGGGGTTGTCATTTTTCTCATTTGATGTGAGTGGAAACTAGGTTTGTTTCAAGAGTTAAACCTCAGTATATGTGTGTCAGTGTGTGTGTGTGTGACTTTGTAAAATACTTGGTACATAAATCTGAGAGATTCTTTAATAATATAAATGAATATGATGTAATCTCTCTCTTTAAGACTTAACCTTTACAAATGGATCCACAGTTGGTGTGGGGGGAAGCAGCTTGTGAACCGAACCATCTTTTTTCTCGCTGGCCACTGTTATTGGGGGAAGCACTGTCTGTGGAAGGACTAGCCAGAGTTAGCCGAAGCCCACTTGGGCAGCTGCAGTATGTCCCAAGTGTCCCATGCGGCACTAGGTGTGTCAGACTGCCACAAAGGAGCCAGTTCTTACTGCCTGCTTGCTGATGACCATTATGGCGTATGAAAGTGGGATATGTTTTGCATAAACTCTGTCCTTCTCTGCAAGAGGTAAGTTTCCAGTTTGCCTGTTTCTTGCAGTTTTTTTTTTCTTTTAGCATTTTTTGTTTTGAAGGTTTTATTTCTTTATCTCCTCTACAATATTACATTCTAACCCTACACAACCATCCCAACATTGTTTACAAGCATTTCCTATCCTTCACATAACTCTGCTTGCTTACTGTATTTATTCCACTGAAAGTTCTGTGAGGGCAGGAATTTTGTATATTTAGTTCATCGGGCAGATAGCAAACCCTAAATGGGTTGAAGATTCATTCAACTATGTTGATAAGTCTTGGGGTAAGATTTCTAGCCACTTGCTTCCCTGTTAACATCTCCAAATGCTGGCTGTTTCTCGAAGATAACTCTTGTTCTAGAATTGCCTTCCTGTGTAGTTTCGGCATTAGTTTGGTCTGCAATGCAGTATGTGACCAAAGCGCTTTGTAAAACCATCCTCTCCAAGGGTGTATTCATTATCTTTAAGATAATTTATCCATGAATCTCTAATTTTTGTGTTTGTATTTTAAATTACTTTGGTTGGATGTTTCTTGAAATGCTACACAAATTTAAAAAGATCAAAGTGTCTGTAAAACTTAAGTATTTTAAGAAAGTAGGTGTGTGTAA